TTTTGACTCGGTATGCTCGCCTATCTTGGTTGCGTGTATGCTTAGTACACCAGATGCAATTAGATTTTATTTTCTCATATTGCATGCTGCTAATGTCTCGAAAAAGTACATTAACGGATGAAAAGACGCCTTTGACAGACAATTGTTGTCATTTAAAATAAAACCTATAAATAAATTAATCTTTATTTTAATTAGATATATTCAATGTTGTATGTTTTTATAAGTTTATTGGGTTGAAAAAGGAAATAACTGTCTAGAATGTAACGCGTATATATATGTGTTCTCTTTCCTTTTTTTTTTTTTTTACTTTTCCTTTTGTGTTCTTGACAGAGAAAAAAAAAATGTCTCATGTTGTTGATATCTCTAGGTTAGATTATTACACCACCGGTGGTGAAGTTCATGTGCAAGTTGTTCGACTCTGGAAGAATGTAAATTTCTTTGGTGATACAATTGAGATGATTCTCGCTGACGATCGGGTATTTTGTTATGTAGTTGTTATTTCTTTATATATTTCATAGGGTTGTTTTTAAAAGCAATTTTTTTTTTTGGATTTTACACTTGAATTTATGCGAAATCGATCTTAGGGTCATCGTATCGGCGCAACTGTCATGCCCGATGAAATCGCTCTGCATGGACCTGTACTTAAACAAGGTTACTGGTTTAGGGTTCGTCGATTCGTTGTTAAGAAGGCCAGTGGTTCGATATGCATAACCGTAAACAGGCATCGGTTTATTTTCGGATCTCATACGGTCGTGATTCCTATCTCTCCAATAACCCATAATTTACACTTGCATCTCAATTGCACACGCTTCTTTGACATCGTGACTCGCAGATTAGATTTTGAGTTTTTGATTGGTAATATTGGTAACCATCTGTTAGTTTTGTGACAATTTTAGTATAATATATCGTTTTGTTAATATCACTTTTTTTTTTGTATTCGATATAGATGTAATGGGAACCGTGTTGAAGATGGGTGATCTCTGTGAGATCAACAGCGATGCTTATGAGGACAATGCAACATATGTTCGATTCAAACTTCTTGATGCAGGGTAAGATCTATGAGTTTATATCCATATGTCGTTTGTTTATGCAAAAAAAAAAACAATGTATCGTTTTGGTTTTATGACATCTAAATTGGAAGAACCTTTTTGTTCTATTTTAATCAATTAGGAGAGATTGTGTATTGCCATGTATCGCCCGTGGGAATTTGGCTAAGAATCTACATAGTGTTTATCAGCGTAATCAAAGTGAATCAGTGGTATTTGTGCTGAGGTTTTGGAAGATGACTAATGGTCAAGGTAGGTTTTTATTCCTCTTTTTTAGTATTTTAGAATAGCTAATCTTGCATTCTTCTAATTCTGATTCATAAAATTAATGATAGGTGTTGATAAGAATTCAGTTGTCCTATGCTCTTACCCTCCTTGCTCTGATTTCCTGTGTAATCCTGTTGATGACGAGATTGACGATTTCAGGGCTAAGTAAGTATTAAATTTATTTTTTCTTTATTGACATATTTTGTGAGTTGATTTTTAGATATATTGATCTAACATATCGATTTCGTTTTTTTTTTGTAGGCGATACCGCCTTAACTAATGTACCATCGATGGAATGTCAATTCCTTATCTTTCTTTTTAATGTTTGTAAAACTATTATATTATGATACTTATTAAATGATATCGGTTGTTGTTTAATCTACTATTTCGGTTAGACTCTATGCATATTTCATTATGTCTTATTTATATTATGAATGTTATGAATGATTATGTCTTATTTATATTATGAATGTTATGAATGATATCGTTACATTGTCTTTAGTGTTTAGAATAAATTTGTATATCAATGGTTTTGAAGTGTTTTTTTTTTTTTGGTGATGTATGGTGATTTGAAAAGTTGATTTGTAAACTATAGTCTACTCAAAGGGCTAAGTATTCATTGCGTTTTTGAAAAAATATCTGAAAACTTCTGAAAGATTTATAGATGGATATCTATAGTTTTTGATATATGTATATCTATAATATTTTGTAGATGTATATCTCCAATATACAATAAACTTAACATTTTTTATTATATATATAATATTAATGCCTAAACCGCATGTAAACGATAAACGATTGTGTCTTAATCAATTGGCGTGTAAATAAAATAAAGGAATGGATAATCAGGCATATGTCATTATTCTTAATAATGTTCTGTCAAAAAATACCGCGTGTTGGATTATTAAAAAGTATGTCAATAACATATATAATAACTGATTTGATTCTAAATCTGTTTGATATAAACGATTTATTATGTTACATTTAAATTATATATCATCTGAGCCCAAAATTTGTATACATCTTATGGGCTAAAAAATTCTGTGTTGTAACCAAAATTCGACTCTTCCTTTAACAGATAAATTGTGATGGTCTTGAATGATCAAGAGGTTAGTCCTATAATTTATGAATATCTCGGTTATTGCCCTGATCTATTAAATTTATTAGTAATTAATAATGTTTTCAATATCAATCATATTGTTAATGTGTTATCTTAATATTTTCTAATTTTATTACGTATAATAATTCGTTCATCTAATTAAAGGGTTTTAAAATTCAAAATAATGAGAAAAAAGTCAAATAGAATTGTCAAACAAAATAAATGAAAACATCAGATGAAATAGGTAGATTCAATGACTAGGGAAAATAGGTGAGTGATCAAAAAAGTAGTCATCTTTAATGTTGTTAAAATCATCTGTGTAGTCAAGCCTGCAAGAACAAGATAAATAATGAGTCGAATATTCAACAATTTTGTTTAGTAAATTTACAAGATGATAACGGTGAACAATGCTTACATAAAATGAGAATTTTCGACTTCAGGAATTGGTGGATCGAACAATATTTCAGAGAATTCTCGACCAGAACAAACACATATTTCATCTGTACAATATAGAAAATTGTATTAGCTACAATTGATATAAATATAAATTGATATATGGTTGGTCGATAGAATGAGAAATAACCTCCATATCGACACATCTCCCAAAATCTCAATACACAGAAAACGATTTTGCGACAAGGAGTATTTTTCCATAAGGACTCAAAATGTTCAGCATCTCTTCCCCACGCTATGCAATTGATGTCGACACCCCTAAAAATCAGAATTAATATATCATTTTCCTTAACATCGAGAATATGATAGTAAAGATTTATATATGTATTAGTCTTTGTATCAATGGATTCTTACTCGAAATCTCTAATTGTAAATTTTAGAACACTTGAGTTGATTCTCTGATTTCCGATCCAAAATTGGTCTTGACGTTCCAATTGACAAACTTTAATAATACCTCCGATCAAATCAACTAGCATAAAGCAATATATTCATATAATTAAGTAGAGTATTAATTAATCTAATTGAGTATAATAAAATACTAAGAAAACATACCAACGTCTATGTTTTCCATCAGAGATTCGTCAAGGATACTTCTAAAATTAGCAAATGAATACAACTGGTCATCTGATTTAGGCGATGTCTTCTCAACATGAGTATCCTCATCGATACAGATATGGAGACCATTGACTGTAATCCTCGAAGTTCCCATGTGTGGAGTAATTTTGAAGTTACCAATGAAGTACCAATCTTTATCACACATCATGCCTTCATAATGGTCTACTAAACGATTCAGAATCGATGCACGTATTCGATCACCCTAGATTTTCAGTTAAAAAATAATAATGGTATTGATAATATATTAAGATTCAGACAGTAATATATTAAGATTCAGACAGTATGTTATTTTTGAAGTTATACTTACATGTTCGTCTGCAAATATAAACGATCGCTGAATACCGTGAACACCTAGGCTTTTCTCGACACTCTTGATGACTTGAACACAGATAGAAGATCGATCAGATGCTATACCTAAATCAGAAATCATCGTGCAAGAAGACATTTTTTTCAAAAATAGATGCAGTTATTCTTAACAATGAATATAATCTGATTACGAGTAACAAATGGGTACTATTTTAAATTGGAAACCACCGTTACGAAAACCAATAGTAGTGTTTGCAATGTTTTGAAAAATAACGGTCATATTTACCACCGCTAATTTAGTTGAATATATATGTCATGTTTTGTTATAATTATAATCTAATAATTATGAAAATCAATAATAGAAAGAACCTCATCAGAATCATTACTAGGTGATAAAATGACATATAATTGTTATGATTATTAATATTTATTTTATTATGATAATAATTGTGATACTAGCTTTTTTAGAGGCTTAGACATAGAATTTTTTTTTTCTGAAGGAATATTTATTAGATTTTATTTCGTTTATTATATAAAGTACAATTTTTACTATATTTGATTAATATTAATGGTATAATTTTATTTTATTTATGTAAATAAGTGTTGTTCATCTTAAAAAATGATATGTACCGAAAGTTTAACAAAAAATATTATACAATTTAACTATTATTCATAAACTCAAATATAAAAATATTATACGATTTCTTAAATATATAAAGCCCGCGCTTGACAAAAATTGAAAATAAAAATGTGATGTTTATGTTACAAAAATCTCAATAATTAAATTATAATAAAGTTTATATAATGATTATGCCTGCGTCGCGCGGACGGATACACTAGTATAAGTATAAAATCAGCACGCGTGATTAATTTTCCCATTTGATAGACAGATAAGAATTTAACCCGAATGATTCGAACCGATCTTTTCATCTTAACACCCTCAACCCGAATGATATTGGTAACATTAAGATAAAAGTATATTGATTTTTAGTTTCTTTTCTTTTCCCAACTACCCATCTCTTCTACAAGCCCTGAAATGCTGTACATTAAGCCTCCATCATCAGAATAAATGCATCACCACCATTTCTTTCAAATTCTGGTTTAATTCTACCAGAATACCGAAAAAATTCTATCTGAATTCCAGTTCAGTTATTTTTTATTATCATTCTTAACCTCTTTAATTTCTTCTATTTTATCCATTTTAAGATCGAATAAGAAATGAACTGCAATTTCGCCATTTCGGTAAGAAAAACCTCAGAAACTGAGAAGTGGAGTGCATGATATATCAAAAGGACCAAACTGTAGTAATATAGAAAATGGCAAAAATTGAGAAAATCTCAAATCAACTAAAGCAACAGAACATAACAAGAGTAAAACGAGGCGACAACTAATCGAACAAGCCAAAACCAAGATCACCATCACTCTCTTCTGCCGGCTCATCCTACAAAACAATTACACAAAATGAGAATGAATAACCAAATCTGACAAGAAAGAGAAAAAAAAACTTACACAAAATTAATATTTTAAAATTATTTTGTACCTTCTTCTCTTCCTTAGCAGGAGCAGCAGCTGCAGCTCCTCCAGCAGCAGCAGGTGCAGCGGCAGCAACTGGCGCACCTCCTCCACCGCCACCAGCACCAACATTCATGATGAGGTCAGTTACATTACGCTTCTCAGCCATCTTGGCAAATAGCATTGGCCAGTAAGACTCAATCTCAACACCAGCAGCTTTGACCAATGTTGCAATCTTTTCAGACTATATACAATAGATTTAAGGATAAAACAAAGACAAAATAAACTTCCTGAATCCAGAACAATGACAATCTAATAATCAAAATAAACCTCCCGGACCATTAAACTAACAAATTATGTAGACCAGACTGAATACAAAGCACAAACATAGATCGTATAAACATGTTTAACTAATAGCAAAACAAGTTTTTTGAATTCAGATTGAATACAAATAAAAATTGACCTCCCTAACCATAAAATTAACAAATAATCTACGAGCACATTGAATACAAACACAAGCATTGACTATGCAAACACGTTTAACTAGAGCCATACGAGTACCCTAACACTAAAACAACAAGTACCCTAACACTAAAACAACAAGTTACAGAGACCATTGACATAGCAGTCAAGTTATAAGCTAAGACACCTCGATAACCCTAAACCAAACAACTTAGCGAGAGCTCAACATAACAACGAAATGAGTACTACTAATTTCGACAAAATGCAGTCTCGATGATGAAAATGATCAAAAAGAATAAATGAAAACGAATTGCTATTACATGAGATTTAGATAACGTCTCAGTTTAAGGATACAGTAATGGCAATGCCCTCGTCCTCAAGGATCATAACAGCGTAGCTGCAAGCGAGTTCTCCGACCGTCGACATTGTCTCTGCAACAACAAAAAAAAATATAGAACAGTTTTATAATCTCAACAAAGACTGATGATTCAGTAACGAAATGTTGAGGATGAAGACGAAATACCTTAGACTGTGATTGGAAGCCTCGACAATTTCTTTGGTGGCGCCGCTTGAGAGAAAGATTTAGGGTTGGCAAAATATGCAGAAATCGTGGGTATAAATAAAGCTAATCAGCAGAAACTTTGGGCTAGGGATTGCTTAGTAGGCCCATTTGAAACTATGTGCAGATTTTATAAAGATTGGGTTTCTTTAAAATATTTTCTTGCTTTTTGGAATCTTTTAAATATTAGGATGATTAGGTAAATAATTGAGAGTTTTTTCCTCTCTCTCTTCTCTCACCTCCATCTTTCAGAGAGAGAGAGAGTTTTTCTCTCAGTTTTGTTGTATATATTCCGATCAATATCGGACATAATAATTCCGTTTAACGGATTAGAATTCCGGCGATGACCGGATTTAGTTTTCCGTTATTGAATCTCCTTTTGCTTTCTAAGTATGATTCTTCAATTTCTGTGAAGATTTTTCTTTGTTAGTCCTTAGTGGAGCAAAGAATTTTTTCCCAACTGAAGAATTGGTTTTCATGGGATTTATGAGACAAGCAATTGAGTTTTCAGTTTCGGATTGTGTGTTAATCCTCTGCAGATCTATCTAATGAAGATGGTTACAATCTACTTCTTCATCTTTTGGTTTCATCCGCTCATTTCGACCAAGAGTTATATCTCTTTTAAGTCCCCTAATGAAGATGCCTTCCATGGCAGAGGGTGACAGGTCATGAGATTGGTGATGGACGGCAGCGATTTTAATGGAGAAGTAAAACTTCTAACCATAGCCTTTTCACATCTAGATCTGTTCTTTTGGAGGATTTCTACGGTGGTGCTTGGGGGAAGAGACGGCGTAGACGATGCTGTAAACCTGCCGGCGGCGTCTGAGAACGTTGAATCGTGGCAGAGATGGAAGGACGCCAGCGACATTTTTTCTTCAACCCTTGATTGGCCACGTGTTAACACGTGTTGTTTTTCTCTACACCCTTATCTTTTGTATTTGGGTTACTATTGGGCTTTAAATTGTAATAAGTTAAGGGTTGGGTTAGAAACTAATCACCACTTGTAATGCCTTTGGGCTTTTAGTTTATAAAACGATGTGACGTCAAAAAAAAAGGTAAATACTTATTTTCAATTATCATAAAAAAATAATCATGATATCATTGTAATTAAACAAGTAACAATTTCTCCTTCGGCTAGATGATTTTATCCTTGGTAGAGACAAAATAGAAGTATTATATATAATTTTCATGTTTTATTTACGGTGCATTTAAAATTTTCCCATATTTTTTATTACTTCCAAACTATTAATTTATTCAATTTTGTATTAGTGTAAATAAAAAATAATGATTCTTTTGGATCTATTATGATTTGGATTTTCAAAAAAAAAAATCCAAAATTTTTGTAGGTGTCAATAACGACAGCAATAAAGATAGAAAGTCTATTTTAACATAAGTCTATTTTAAAAAAAAATATCAAATACATTCAAATCTAATAGAGCATCTATTTTGTTCTTCGTATCTCTTTCTACTTATTTTGGGGAAATGGCTCGCATGCCATTATTTGTGGGTTTAGCATTCTAACTTGCCATTTGTTAATCTTGATGCCACTAATTTGGGGAAAATACTATTGTAACCTTAATGAAGGGACCCACGTAGCTACTCTCTCTCTCTAATATCGATTTTGTAACTAAAATTTTCGAAAATCAAAAAAAAAAAATTGCATGCCGGAAGCAGATCTGGGTGGCTCGGGAAATCGATTTTGTGGCCGGAAAAAGAAAATTTGATCCTCTTCGTTTTATTGTCCGTTGTCTCCGTTCTTCGCCGCGGGTAACGGGGCCCCGCGGGTAACACACTGCATTTGAAAGCGCAGACATCTCCTTCCGTGCAGCTCGCCGTCGTCGGAGATCCTCCCATCTATCGACTCCAATTAGCTCATCTTCATTCTCCGATTAGGTATGGTATATCTTTCATTAGGGGAAATGCATGTTGTGGTATGTACATTGGGTCGATTAGGTAGATTGATTGTTGATTAGACGTCCAAATTGAGCTAGAGTAGATGTCGCAATATGTAGCGAAATGGGGGAAAAATCTACAGATTTAGTACAATTGTATAAATTAGTACAACTAATAATGTGTGGAGGACTGGTACACATAAGTACGAATATGAGGGTTTAGAACTACTGGTACACAATGGTACAAATATGAGTTAGAGTACAACTGATACGCAATGGTACAACTGTGACAAATTGGGTAATAATTAAACGCGTATTTTGGTTTCATATACACAGGAAGGGTGGGGCAGAATGAGTCCGGCCGTGAACATACACTTTGATTATGGAGGGAAGTATACAAAAGTTGGAGAGGTGTTTAAATGGATTGGAGGAAGTTCCACGTTTGCAATATCTTTGAAATACCGTGCAATGGAGGAGATTACTTACTCAGTTTTAGTAGAGACGATATGCAGGAAGATGGCAATAGATGAAAGAACAGCGGAACTCAAACTGAGCTACATTCCAATTGCATTTAACCCTCAGAGCGAGTCATATATTTATGATGATGAGGATGTTTATAATCTAACAACAGTGGACGAAAAGGGATTTAGATCTGTTTTGCACGTGGAAGTAATGAAAGATGTGGAAGTAACTCAAATGGAGCCGCAACTGTCTCCGCAACTGTCTAGAGCTGGTCAAGGTAGCTCAGTTGGTTTGAACAAAGGGGAGCTTGGTTCAAATGTCAGTGCTGATGCGGGGATCCTAACTATCTACAGAGCAGAGGGACCAGCAAAGCAACACAATGAGCCAATAATTGAAGAGCCGATAGAGAATGATGTTGATGAAGGAATGCATAAAGAATTTGGGGATGATGGTAACGCAAGTGACGAAATTTTGGCATTGAATGATGACGTATCAGGAGGTAATCGCATGGAGGAGCCTCACTATTATGAGCCACCAGGTGGTGATGAAGAAAGTCAGCTAGTTGCTGAATGGGAAGATGGTGCGGGTCTTGTAGTTGGTCAAGAGTTTACTTCTAAAGCGACAGTGCAACAAATGATTGAGAGAGCTGCACATAAATACTGTTTTTCGTTCAATACTATCAAGTCGGATAAAAACAGACTTATGCTAGAATGCCGTCAGAAGAAACAAGGTTGTAAGTGGTATCTTCGAGCTGCGAGCGTTAAGGATTCAAGCCGTTTTAGTGTCAGGGTGTACAGAAAGATGCACAGATGTTCCTGTGCTGCGCAGAGTACAAGCAGCAATAAATTGAAAGGTACACCAGAAATGGTAGCATCGGTTCTGCATGATGTGTATCCAGGTCGCCTCGACACCCAGTTCCTAAAAGTATCATAAATGTTGTTCAAGGGCGTATTGGTATGAATGTATCCTATTCCACTGCCCTGAGGGGGAAGAAACTCGCATTTAATTATGTACGAGGCAGTCCAGAAGATAGCTATAGTATGTTGTATCCTTATTTGCACATGTTGGAGAAGGTAAATCTTGGAACGGTAACAAGTGTGGAATTGACTGCAGAGAAGAAGTTCAAATACTTATTCATTGCTTTAGGTGCTTGCGTTGAAGGTTTTAGAGCAATGAGGAAAGTGTTAGTAGTGGACGCAACTTTTCTCTCGGGTTCCTATGGTGGTATGTTAGTGTTTGCGATAGCTCAGGACCCTAATCGGCACAATTACCCGGTTGCGTTTGGTGTGATTGATGGCGAGAATAATCGTAGCTGGCGGTGGTTTTTCGAAAAGTTAAAAATTGTAGTTCCAGATGATCCTGAGTTAGTCTTTATGAGTGATAGACATCAAAGCATCATCAAGGCAGTCTCTGAGGTGTATCCGAGTGCTCATCATGGATATTGTATTTGGCATATTTCGCAGAATGTGAGAGATAGAGTTAGTAATGTCAATAAAGACTTTGTTGCACAGAAATTCCGGGATTGCGCACATATCTATACTCAATCTGAGTTCATTAGAGAGTATGGTGATTTCAGAGTTAGGTTTCCTAAAGCAGCTGAGTATCTTGATAATAGTGTTACCCTGGAAAAATGGGCTAGGTGCTGCTTCTTGGGGGATAAGTACAACATAGAGACCAGTAACTCGGCAGAGTCTATGAATAGTTGTTTAGTGACTGCGAGGAAGTATGCCTTATTGCATATGATCGATGCGATTGTAGCTAAAGTTTTTGAATGGTTTAACAGATACAGGAAGGATTCAGCTGGTCCTTTTTATAATAAGAGAGTGGTGCCTGTTGTGGAGAATGAAATATACAGTCGATGTGCAATCGCGTCTCTTTTAGTGGTGACGGAACTAAACAGCTACGAGCTTGAATACAGCGTTAATGGACTGGACGGGAAAACTTACGTGGTGAACTTGATAGCAAAAAGCTGTTGCTGCAGGCGGTTTGATATAGATAAGTTCCCGTGTGAACATGCAATAGCCGCAGCGAAGAAACTGATGAGCACGGAAGATAGATCAGCGAGTATCGGAGTATATGACTTGTGCTCAAAATATTACTTGATTGAGACGTGGGCATTGGCATACTATCGAACAATTTATCCTGTTCCTCATCATACTGACTGGAGTGTTCCTGAAAACATCAAAGAGTTGGTCGTCTTACCACCAGATGTCAAGAAAAAAGTGGGTAGAAATCAAGAAAAGCGGAAACCAGGGCCCGGAGAACGTCGCCGGAGGACAAAGAACAAGGCCGACCCTCACTTGGACTTGGAGGCTTGTTTCCGGTCTTCTCAACATCCCCAGGCAGAAGGTCCTTCAACTTAGGTTTTGAGTTTGGTAATGCTTTGTGTTTTTATTTGAACAACCAGGTCCACTATGGACAACTATTGTTATTTGTATTGGAGTTTTGTAATGTGTTGTTTTTATGTGGACAACCAGATCGACTACAGACAACTGTTGAGTTCTTTGGGTTTAGTATTTGCTCCGTGTTAGTGTTTGCTTTGTATTTTTATGTGGACAACAAGGTCGACTACAGACAACTTTTGTTATTTGTGTTTGCAAGGTACAACTGGGTCCTTGTGGTTCAACTACTAGCAATATCATTAAATTTGATATCCTAAATATTTGATAATATATATCATTAAATTTGAAGCAGTTGGAGACTTCTTATAACTCTAAACTCATAATAAAGTAAAAGAAAACGAATCAAACTAAAAAAAAATTCCCTTATACATTTTCTTTTTTCTCATCAAAAAATATCATCTAGTTTAAGGATGTATTTGGTAAATGTAAGTTTCTCATCATGAATAAAAACTTTGGAAATGATTATGCAAAAACAAATAGTATCTACGCCTTGTAAATGACCACTAATACTCAAACATGTCGGGGACAACTACAAAATAGTAAGGTATGCAATGGTACAACAACAAAAACCAAAAACTCGTCAAAGTACACCTATGTGGAAATTAGTACACTAGGAACAACTTTTGGACAACTACATCATCGATTGACGGCGCACATGTTTCATATCCAAGATCGACGGCGCACATGTTTCTTACACTAAGCAAATTTTTCAAATTTTTCAAATTTTAAATCCCCCACCAAATTTTATATCAGCTATATCTACATTTTCCCATTTTCTCATTTTCCCATTTCCGAGACTTAACTTAACACAAGCAGAAGAGAGAAAACCGCAGAAAATCCAGAGCAAATTGGTGACGAACTGAGAAAAAAAAAATAAGGAAAAGATGGGAAGCCCAAGCTCTTCGCGATTGGAAGACAAAGGTAATCCGATATGCGATTTTAATTCTTGATTTGGCATTTCAGTTTTCGAGATTCAAATTAGGGTTTATGATAATAATTGAAAATTTGGGGATTTCCTTAGAAATCAGGGTTTATGATTGTAATTGTGAATTTCAGAGATGGAGAAGGCACTTGCGAAGCTTGCGAAGAAGGATCACGGCATGACAACAAGATGGGGTCCGGAAGTCAAAGGAGTCCGAACCATTGTTGAATGTCCTAAGCAGGTCGGAATTCCTCAATTTTGCTACTGCGGTCCTCCTCGTATTGCTCCGTGGCCGAACCTAATTGACTACTCTGCGCTAGACCGAGGCCGGAAGTACTACGGCTGCTTTTACGGTTGCTGTGGACCGAAAAACTTCCCGGAAGTAAGATGTCGCTCTGCTTTATAATTTCGCTAAACCATTACAAGCACAAAACCGATGCTTTTCTGTCTTTCAGGTTCCAAGTTGTGGCTTCAAGAAGTGGTGGGATGTCGCTATAGAAGAGGAGATTGGTTTGATAAAAGAAACGCAAGAGGACATAAAGTCTGTGTTTGATGTGATTGTCTCAAAGCTAAACCAGCTGGAATCGAAGATTGAGGCTCTACAGGAGGCCTTGAAGAACAAGGACGCTTGAAGCTTTTTCCTGTTTTATTTGGTTGTCCTAGTTGTCCTATCTTCTTATCTTCTTGTTTGTTGTTCTAGTTATCTTATATTCCTCTATGTAAGACTCTTTCATCTTTCATTTGAACTTAGTTGTTCCATCTTTCTTATTTAGTAAACACTTCGTCTTAGTTGAACCATGTTGTCCCCGAAGTTACAATTTTAAAACGGTTGATGCAACTACAAACCAAACCATGGAACAAACCAAAGAATACTAAAAGTCACAAAAACAATACTTTCACAAGTTCCATTCAGGCACAAGATCCAAATCCAAAAAACAACAACCCCAAACATTCAGACAAGTACCAAGCGATAAATAGATGTTTCAAAAAAGTACCAACCATGGAACTTGTCTTTACCAAGCAAGTTCTAAACTAAACCTTTTGTCTTTTCGAGGCCCTTGTCACCACCTGGTTCTCTTTGTTTCTAGTTTGCTTCGAAGCCCGTGTTTCGACCTGGTTCGTCTCTTCTGATTTTTTCCCTTCATCCACGGCAACCTTAGAATTCTGACCTTTTGTCCGTCTTCTTGCTTCTGTAAATGGAGGTTTCTTCCACTGGGATGGTGCACCTTGCCTCTTCGGTCTTTGGGGTGGTGGTAAAGGCGGGCCTGTCGACGGTGCTGGTGTTGGTGAGATGGATGCTGACGCCGCTGGTGTTGGTGAGATGGCTGCTGACGCCGCTGGTGTTGGTGAGATTGCTGCTGATTCTCGTTGAGGTGTCGGTGAACGAACTCCTGTGGTTGAACCAACTCCTACTGCTGATGGTGCTAAGATGGCTGCTGACTCTGGTGGAGGTGTAGGAACTAGTGTGGGTGAACGGACTCCTACTACTGATGGTGGGATCACCGCTTCTGTTCCAGTGAACTCCATCTTCTCTTTCAAGTATTTCTCAACAGCTTTCAGCCTCTCCTCCATATCCTCTAATCTCTTCTCCAAATCCACTTCTGCTGTACCCTTATACGCTTCTGACTCCGGTTCATGTTCTGGATCCTGACCTCGACAACCAACCTCCAAGTCATACAATTGTTTCTAACATATTTTCTTCTTCTTGACGGTGAGGTACTCAGTCCAAGACTCAACAAATGGATCAACAAACCCTATCCCTTCGTCGTATCCACGTTCCATTATGCGATCTATGAGCGCTTCTTCCTCAGAGTCAGGTTCCAAAATGCTAATAATTTCCTGTCATAAATAATCAAACCCTAGTTACTACTTCCAACCTAGCTCAATCTAATAATATTGCTCATCAAATTATACTACTAACACTTACCTCGCTACTATTGCCTATCGCCTCATTAATGTCCTCAAAGGAAACCCTCTCATGCATATCTCAGAAAATTTCCCCTTGCAGATGCGTGGACAGTCTCCATTTGCAGGCACAACTTCTCGGCATCTCCGTCGAAGCTCAGGAATACATTCGAACGCCATAATCTACATAGAAAATCACAGTACCAAAAACTCAATATCACAATACTAAATACCTGAAAACTCATTAATAACACATACCTCTATAGGAACTATGAAACCCCCAAAGCTGCATGATTGTCCTTTCGCTTTCACGCTCCCTCTAAGCTTCCTCATCACACGCTGTATCTCCTTGATGCAATTATCATACGTGTATCGCCCCCAAGGAAATTTCTTACACAGCCTTAGATCATTCACAACTCGAAGCAAAAAGGACTCTATGTTACCATTCGCCTTAGTTCCAGCTTTGACAACTTTGCTTAAGAAAAAGAGTACTGCCATCTTTTTCTTATCTTCTGAGGTCTCCATTGCCTCAAGCCTCTCTTCCACATCCTTAACTGTTATTGCCTTCTTCCTTCCAAACTGTCTCTCAACAAAGCTCCAACCCCCCAAATCCTTATAATTTCTAGGGTACTCATGGCAGTCTAACCCACAGAGGAGTGCATGCTCTCTCAATGAGTAACGGATGGGAACACCGTTTACAACAAACCAGCACTCACTTTCCTTCCCGGTTTTAGCAGTATGGAGGAGGAGCATCCACAGACCTTGACTCATGTGATTCCGCTCTTTGGGCATATGAAATATGTGCCTGAATTGAGGGTGTGTTTTAAACCATTTCGCCTCTTCTGGCATTGCCTCTATCTTCTGAACAACACTCGTTACAGAACACCTAGTAACTATCTTGCAAGCTTTGCCAAACTCGGTTGGGTTAAAGAAAAGCTTCTCAGGTTGCATCGGCAAGCTAGAGGAAATGGGATCCTACAATTCGAATACATTTACCATTAGTTGTCCCTGTTGTCCTAAATATTAATTGACCAAATTTACAATTTTATTGTTCCTGTTGTTCCGGTTGTCCTAAATACTAAACTACAGGATCAATCAAACAAGATCGGATGTCATTTCACACCATAGAGTACATGAATACAGTACATACCTGGTCATCATCTTCTTCCCCATCGTTCATGTCCTCGCCTACCTCTTCTGCTGCAATCCCATCTGTCGCTTCCTGTCCTTCATCATCTGCTTCCTCCTCTTCATCTTCCACTGCTTCCTCCTCTTCATCTTCCACTGCTTCCTCCTCTTCTTCATCATCTGCTTCCTCCTCGTCTTTTTCCTCTGCCTCCTCCTCATCTCCTTCATCGTTGGCTTCCTCTTCTTCATCATCTGCTTCCTGTTCTTGTTTTTCATCTTCTTCATCTTCTTCGTCATCGGCTTCTTCCGTTTCTTCGTCTTCTTTTATCTCTACTTCTTCATCTCCTTCCCCATCTGCTTCCTCGGAACCGGCCCCCTCGGATGAATTTGACTCTCCATCTTCCTCTAATGCATGCGAGACATCTCCATCTCGACCTGCCTCGGCGCCTATAACAATACCAGCTGCGTCGGTCACCATCACTTCCGGAGGCGGAGTTGTTCCTTCCTTTTCTACAACGGTGGCTTCGGAGAGGTTTTCTCTAGTGGAGGTTTCCGTTGATTCGTAAACGACTCCACCTTTCCCTTTCCTTACCTTCGCCATTACGGCCCCTACCCAGACTAAACTATGTGCTTCCGCCGAAAACTTCGACTCCGGCGAGAAGAACTAAGATTCCGGCGAAGAAATGGTCGAGAATTTGGAGAATTTTTGGAATTGAGTTTTTAGGTTTTTACTTCAGTATAAATTGGGACTCAACCCGAGTAAAATCCCTTTTCTTCGGGTCGGGTGGGTATTCCCATGGTTTTATTGTAAATCTTTTAAAGTTTGGGGGATGATACAGTATTTTCCACGCTTTCTACACTAAAAAGAAAATGAATAATAAATTTAATTTTCGTTGGTGGCATACGAGATCATTTTTCAATCTCCGATGGTTTTCCAGCCATTCTCCCACTTATTTTCCTTGAAAACAAGATCCATCCATATCCTTATTTATGGAGTTTGCGATAA